TATTGGTTTTTTAAATTCACCATGTGGTTCTTTGGAATTTTACTTTTTATATTTTAATTATTACATTTCATTCATTCAGGAAGATATAAACCTTGAACACTGCAAATAGGGTGGACATAAAGAGAGATTATTTCGTCATACTGACGTTATTAACTAATTATTTGATTATTAATATTCTGGTAAGCAAAGGCGACATAACAGAGATAAAAACATTTTCCTCTTGCAATTGCGTGGTTTATTAATATTAATTTTTTTTAAATCTTGGGAATTTTAACTTATTTATATACAATAACAACTATCACTCGTTACATTAATAAGTAACTATGTATAATACCAAGTATTTGTTATTGTAAAGAATTGTGTTCCTTATATTCTTATATTCGGCTTCAGGATTATATATTTTTGATAATAATATAATCTGAATTATACATTGACACTATAGTCAATGAATAAATGATCTGTATAAAAAATATGGGTATGTTTTTGAAGTTAAGTTAAGTTCCAATTTCACATTTTTTAGGTAGCACTATGGAGATTTCATAGTTATTTTTATTGAAAATTTAATAGCTTTTTGAAGATAAAAATAAAAAATAAGTTTATCGGATTTTGACATACTTGCACATCAAATTTGCAAAGGAAAAGTATATATGAGTATTTTATGTGAATATTTGTCAATAATGATCATGCAACGTATAAATTAAATTGTAATATTTATGAATATTTCTGAGAATAAAATCGTACCATTTCAAAATGAACTTTAGACTTCTTATCATTTTCCTGCATATATGATTCAATATCAGATCAATTTATAGTACAATAACCTAAATAGATTTATATCTATATAAGTTACTTCTTCTGAGATTATATCTTCAATTTTTTCACGAATGATTATTCAATTAATCCTTGAGCACATGGATTTGAAGTGGTGCAAAATTTAATAATTACGTTGGTAACAGTACGTACATTTTATTCAGGTATCTGTAATCAACTCACACACAATTGTATATGCAGTTTTACTTAAAAATAATTTTATCGCACAGTTACTCTGAAATTATTCAATTTGTCTTGCATAAACATATCCTTTCGACAGACAGAAATTTTTAATGTTACGTAAGCCAGAACAAAGAACTGGTTTTAACTGATATTTCCCCAGAAAAATTTGCATTCTGCCATTCCCGATTATCTTATTATATTATAAATAACTGAATTTATAGACTGAGATACCTTGTCATGTTTGGTATTTATTGATACACAAAAGTAATTTTAATTTTTATGTACTATTATCAATAAAATGATTTTATTTTGCTATTCCAGACATTACAATTAAGATAACAACATATAATAATCTGAAACAATGGCAATTTAAAATTTTTATAGATTTTATGGAATTTACATTTATATATTTTTGAATAATCAGCTTTATCTACATCCAATCTAGCTAAAGCCGGCATCACACGTCCAATATTCGCCGAGTATCCGGCCAGGAATGTACTTGATTCAGCAGCAAGCAGTGGCGGCTGCTGAAAATTAAAGTGGTTATATTCTGGAACTATGATTCAGCCAAGCGATCTTGCCTTGACTGGCGGGGTCATAGAGACCTTACCTAGACTGTCTGTGTCATTGCGATCTTGCCTTAAATTAATGGGGCTGCAAACAAGGTCCTCTTATTTCATGACTTGATTTGACGTTCAAATAACCTTCAAGTTTGACTTCTAGGTCATGGTCAAGGTCATCTTCATATGAACCCATGAAACCATAAAAATTTCAACCAAAATTCTAACCTTTGGGTCAAGGTCACCATCGAATGTCCCCCTCAAAACCACAATTGATATCTTCATTCGTTTCAAACGATATGTATGAAACAGTATATTTATAAATGAAAAATTACTTTCAGGAAACAAACGTCAAACATTTTTTTTATTTAACTGTTTCTTGGTACAATTAAGTGTGCCATGGATATATTTTGTGTATCGGGAAAATAAATGGACGGTACCCTGAATTGTGTAAAAAAACAATTGATTTACAAAACAAAAAATTATTTTTAATATTTATATGCAATTTTTTTTAATCATGTGTGATACAGCATTTGAGAGAAAATTTTGTGCATACTTACTTCAAATATCAAGTGTTCGTTTCAAAAAATATAAATATATATTATAACTAAAAAAACTTAAAGAAACAACTGTGTAAAAAACCTCTTTACAAAAATCTAATATTTTCACAAACAAAAATGTTATAGGGCATAGGAAGCGTCCAAAATTGAGAAACACCCTGTATCTATTAAACGAATTGAGATATCGAGGTGCGGTTTCCGTTATTTAACTTTCTTTGAAACGTGTGGTTGTGGCATCAAATCTATTTTTGTTTTAGCTTTTGGGAAAATAGGAGAAACTAAAAAGTATCGAAATTGGCCCACTCTATACGATGTTAGAGCGGATGTTATTTTTTTTTCTAAAACTTAACTTTGCTTTTAGCGTTTTACCCAAAATCATTTAAAAAAAACTACACCCAACCCTATTTACCTACATAGTAGATGATTAATTAGATTCATATAGCATACGACGATTTTTGAATACGTGTTGTGGCATCTCAAAATTGTATTTTACTGTTACACCGTCACACGATGTAAGAATTCTTGTGATTCAAATTGGACAGAATCAATTCCATTAGTTTCATAACTATAACTAGTTTATTTATCATACAAGTTGTCTGGAAACGAAGGACTATATTTCAAGTGCAGCTTCTTTGGACAAAAACAAACTAATTTTAATTTGAAGTTACCTGTTACCTTAATAATTACGAACCTTCAAAAAATCATGTACATATTTCATTTCTGTTGAACAAATCCGTCACTTTTTAAGACATTTCAATGTCCAACGGGAAAATATCCATTTACAAAATAAGGTAAAAAGAACAGTGGAAGAAACAGTATCTAACTAAAACAAACGTATACAACTTTGACAAAAAGAATTAATATAATAATTAATTGCAAACATACTTATACATACACTTTAATTTATTAAAGAAGCAAACAACAGATAACAGTGAATATATTGAGAACATAATGTACATCCTTGTTTTTATTTCATTTATTACTTTAATAAATAAATCAACCGTAATTCGATTCACTGTAATCATTAAACATTTCCTACAAATTAGTTCCATAATTTTTTATTTGGAAAAGATGCTGATGTCGCGTATTTATTCGAAGAATACGAAAATTTATTCCTAACAAGTCCTGGTACTTTATTAGGTATGTTCTTTAAGATTCTGAAAAAAAGTTACAGACATAATTTTTGGTCTTTATAGCAAATTGCTCATATTAAAACGGTCGTGAAAAGACTCTTGTGGAAAGACTCTTGGCTAATAATCAAGTGCAAATACAGCTGATTTGAAAAGTCTACGTTATATTTTTTTAATGTACATTATACATACATTATATAACTACGAGTAGGTAGTAAATATAAGCAAGTATCGAAACCAAAGAAACGTATGTAGTAGAAAATACGTTTGGGGTCGTTATGACTGAAAATTTGCCATATTACTACTAGTAATATGGTAAGTACTATCTTTAGTAAAACCAAGTTAGGATAATTATAGGACAAACTCCACAAGTTTGTAACTATATACTTGACTCACCTGCCATATAAACTTTTAGTAGTATCATCACTTATAATATTACTTTTCATAGCGTTTAGAGTATATTAAATTAAATTTAGTTGTAAATTATTGCGCATCTAGTTCATTATTAACAAAGACCAAGCTTATAACAAAAACCTGCATAACTCGTTTCTAAAAAACCCCATCCAGAATGTAACATCCAAAATTATTAACTTATTTAATTTGAGAAATATAAGGTGGCATCGAAATTCTAGGGTTCTTAGTGATATTCTTCGGCCAGTAACTTCACTTGTGATTGTGATCAATTTGATCAAGCAAATTTTTGGCTGTAATTATTTAAGTCATCAGCCCAAATTTCATCAATCTATGTCAAAGACATTAGGAAAAATATCTATTATATAAAAGATTTGATCAAAAAGTAACGGGAATTATTCATTTTCTCAGAAAATACTCATAGTAATCCCTCTGGAACGCCTCTTTTGGTATCGTCTTGAGCACGGTTTACGATTTTGCCTTTATCTCATCTATTGTTGTCCTCTGAGTATCCTTTTGAGCTTGGAAAATAGGAAAAAGTTACAGGGGTTATGTTCGCAGATTAGAGTGGTTGCGTCACCACAACGGTGTTGTGTTTCACCAAGAACTGTTGGATAAGCAAAGCGGTATGAGCCGGTGAGTTGTGGTGCAAAATTCACGAGTTGTCTCTCGTGTTCTTGTCGTTTTCTCCTGATTGCGTAAACTTGTAAGTCCTTGTTAACTGTTGGACCGGGAAGTAAAAATTCATGATCAACTATTCCATTGTAGTCTAAGAAAACGATTAGAAAGACCCTCACATTTGACCAGATTGATAAACTCGTATCTGTGACGTAGTATCGTCGCCAAAGGCCTTCTTTAACATTTTGAATGATTCCGTGCACTGAATTAAGTTTTTTTAACACAAAATACCATACAAACTCTCTGATCCGACATTTTGCTACACAAAAAATCGGTAAGAGTGGGGGTGAGGTAAGTCTTACTCATTCGCTCGGTAATCACAAACTAAACGTGCCTAAATTGACAAATACAAAAAAAGAATCAACTCGATAGACAAGATACAATACGCGCATTTTAAAAATTTCCGTTACTTTTTGATCAAACCTCGTATATTATTAAATCGCAACCAAGCTTTCTGCGACATATATTTATATAAACCTGTTTACTTAAAATTAGATCTTCTGCCGGCTTTTAAGAGTAGGTACCGCAAAAACCCGCCTCACCCTGTATATTCCAATGAAGCACCTCTCCGCCGTGGATATTTTTATCAACGACGCTGGTGAGACCTAGTAAAGAAATATATAGAGGGCACGCTAGCGCTTGGCTCAGTTTATGATATATCTCACGCGAGCTGCAAGCTATATAGAAATCATTGCGACTTGCTCGTCAACGAAGAAAGCATTGAGAAATTTATTTTTAGGCAGTATTAATTAAAACCGTTCTGTGATAAAGAGACATTATTTCTTTCAGTCAACATTACATATCTTCGTATTATTGTTTATGTTTATTAAGTTTCTTTAATTTAGAAAAATGACTAAATCGGATCTGGACAGTTCTCTTGACAATATTCTTGTGCAACTTGGTGATTTCGGCAAATATCAGATATTTGTTTTCAGTCTAGTTTGTGTCGCGGTCATTTTGCACTCTGCGGTTCACGTGGCTTATGTTTTCACTGCCATGGACCTGGACTACAGGTAAATTTTCATTTTTGAGTAAAATGTTATTATTTTAATTATAAATTAGATACCTACTTTTAAATCACATAATTAGAAGGTAGATAAATACATCGTTAGGGCCACTTTTCACACAAGGTACATAGGTATTTAGTCTCAGAAACTTTTCATCTTTGCAGTTTTTTGGTCAAAATTGTCAAATGTGACAGTTTATAATTTATTTGTTTATCTAGTTTCATTAAACGGATGAGATGTCATAAATTTATTTAATCTCTTATTACTTACTTTATGTTTGAGAATTTATAACAAATATTGACAAAAATTTAAAGAAAATAATATTTTTTTTGTATTACTTTTGTATTACTCGCTTCTTTTTCTAAAATTGATAAGGAATTGAATTTAGTAGCACGATTGTTTTCCCAAAAACGTAATAATTTTTTTTATTTTTCCAATTCGTCCTTATTTATGCAATTTTGATATTAATTAATTCTAACATCTGAAGGGTTTCACTGATATAATATTTGTTTTGTCCACAGCAAGCACCGTATGCAGATTTTTTATTTTTTATCGTTATTTTTGGAGAAAGACTCCTCGCGTTTTATTAAACAAATATCAAGGGACAAAAAAGTTTCTAAATTCAATGGCTTTCTAGCCAACTAATAATTTAAACATTTTTTTCTGGTTCCAAAGACAAGGGGGCAAATGAAAAAGTGTCCTAAGGGGGTTTCTCGCCAAAAAGCGTAGTACTGTGAGATTCGGCATGTCATAAAACCCCCGTGTACCAAATTTAGTGATTTTCGTACAACATGGTTTTGAGATATAAAAAAGATTTCTTATGGACAGATTTCAGTGGGCTGTAACTCTAAAAGATGGGGCCAGTTGGCAAAAAGAAAAAATACGGGTCCCCTAAATTTGTCTTAAGAATCTATGACCAAATTTTGTTACATGAATTTCGGGACACCCTGTATATTTCATTGTGTGATTTTAAAGTATTTGCATACTGCAAATATGTTTGTTGTTGTGGCACCGCACCGTAGCAAAACCCACAGAAATAACATTATATAAGAAATGGCATAAATATAAATACTTCCACACAATATTAATATTACAGACTGTATAGCTTCGCCCTAAGCTATTTTGTCTGTGTTAGTAGTACCAAAATAATATAAAATTAATTTGCGTTTGTAATAAGTATATGTAAGGATCGATGTTAAAGAAAATCTGCCATTTTCACTAATTATCGTATTCATTACATTATTACATCCTTCGAGCATTAAAAATAAAATAACGTGCTAAATTTACGATATGCAAAAAAGATGAAAGTTTGTGCAAAATGCTCTAGGTTACAGTATATAGCACATAATAGGTAATTAATTTTTTTTATAAGGTGTTAAATCTAGGAATCCACTTAACAGGTATTGCTAAAGGGCAATACTTTATTTAATATAAATTACTCAGTGAAAACGTAATAAAAAACACGGTTCAAGCGCTTTTGGCCTGTTAATTGAATAGTCCATTAGAATTTTTAGCAAGGGGTTAATGTAACTAACTTCCTGTTGATATATTGATAGGAGGTCGACAATCCAGAAAAATTATAATGAATTGATTGTACCAAAATTTTATCTTTTAAATAAATATACAGAGTAATCCAGGTTTTAATAGGAAAACTAAAAGTTAAAACAAAGAGTTTCGTATAAGAACGAATCGTAAATGCTTCATTTTCAATACAGTGTTACATTTTCTAACATATTTTGACGTTTGGACGTTTAACGCAGACTGATGAAACTTGGACCACTGATTTATCTATAGTAGGATCATATTCGATGCAAAGTAATAAATCATTGCCTGTCAAGGGATCCAGTGCCATACGCTTTTAAGGGTTTTAGAAATTGAATAATTTCTTTTTACATTATGAAGGGACGAAGGGGTCAGTTCACGTCTGGCACCCTTGTTCCTACAAAAATTCGTTTATTCTCTTAAACTATTTATTTTAAATGTAATTTATTATAAATCCAATTTGTTTTTTAAATTCCACGTATGTACTACATTTTAACTCTGTACGCACCACTGTTGTTTACTTGTTTTTTGGAGTCGCTCTCTGATTTACAATCAAGCTCGCCAGGACTCGATTTTGATTATTTCTGGGGTGTGGACTTTTGCTTATAATCTACAGATTTTGGTGTTATACAGAGCGTTCTTTTGAACTCCTACAAAATTGATGTATGGTGATAATATGCGTTTAAAACTTTTTCTTCTTTCGGGCAATAATGACAACTATTTTTTATTTGATAGGTGATACCATTTGGAAGTTTTTTGGGCGTCATGTAATTAAATGAGCCGTTTGGGTATAAAACATATTTTTTAAATGTATGCATTCTCTTGCCACCCATATTACAGTACTTAACAAAGTGCTAGTAGGCTCTGATTTTGTAGGTTGACTGTAATTTCAGTTCGATCTTTAAGTCATTGTACGTGCCAATTCTGTTTTACTAGAAGCGGAATAATACCTAAATATTTACAATGAACATGTGTATGCTCAAGAAAATCCGTATGCTGTGAAAATGAAACATTATCTGCATGAATTTCGAAAATCGATTAATACGTATTCCAGTTATTTACAAAATTCAAAAAAATTTCACTTACTTTGAGGCCATCTAACGGCTAAACGAAGCGATTTCGGATATATGTGAATATGTGGTCTTTCGTTGCACACGTAATTCTGGGATACCCTGTATAGCGTGATATATCAAGAGCTTCAAATATTATTGTTGTAGAAATTAATTTTGTTCTGAAACAAATAACTTCATATACATTTTTCTAAAACGAGTATTTTTCTTTTTATTAAAATTTTTAAAATTAAAAAGTCTAGGGCTCAAAAACTTATCCAAATTAAATGAAAATTAACGTATTTGTACGCCAACTTGTCGAATTTTTATCTCTAAGTAGATGTATCACTGATCCGAGTGTTATATTTAATATGTTCTCAAAACTATTTGAGAAAATATCTTATTTTTTTAACTTAAGCACCCTGTATCTCGAAAACATTTTTTTCTTAATATAATTTGTTCTGTTATCTACCAAATGAAGTATCTGGACCATCCTACCCTGTTATTAATTGAATTAATTACGTTTAATTAATTAAATTTAATTAATTAATTTAATTGATATTATTTTCATTTATCTTCTCTCTTTACAATGAGAACTAAATGTTAGTATCTTTTGAGTAATTATTGATGCTTTCTTTAAAATAAACTTTTTTGCACGCTATCGATATGCCATATCAACACCTTCTAACACAGTAGAATTTTTTCCATGAAAAATCTTGTTTGAAAATTGGTTTTTGTTTTCAACAGAGTTTTCGATATATCCCTCAGCTGCAGAGGACGAACGACACCCACCGTGCCTTTTAAGGCCTAAAATTACTTGATTTTTCCATTTTATGTCCAATATATCCCTCTTAAGAAAAGCAATTGTATCATATTTTGAAATATCGACAACTTTATGCAAAAATAGTGTAGCTTTGAGCATAGAGTATTCAACCCATAAGCTTCCTGGAGACTTTAGGGTTTCGTTTCTTGAAAAAAACGCCTTTTCTGTTACATTTTCAAAGTTCTTATTACACCACGCTGCAAATAGCTTGAAGATTTTCTCGCATATCTCTTTGGACTTCTCGGGAATTATGACTGAACATCCTACTTACCAAGCATTTTTTTAGTCTGGATCGTCACTTTCTTGAATCATAACTTACAAGAAGCTCAAGTTGGAGAAATTTCTAATGACTGCAGATGTCACTTGACAAAAATATTCGGTCTCATAGTAACCAAAGCTAGATAGGTCAGGAAAATAAGCTGGGAAATTACCATTTCGCGACTTTTTGTTTCGGCAAGCTGAATTTATCACTATAGATGCTAAATATTATGTACAGTAACGTATTAGTTTCCACAGTCATAAAAATGGGGGGAAGATTGTTTACAGGGTGGTTAATTGTATAATTTTTACGTAATTTCACGTTTTTTGCTTAAAAGTTTCTTCCGTTCATTTCCACGAGAAAACAGTAAACTATTTTTTTTTTCGTCTTCAAAGGACCTACAAAAATAGCCCTCGAGCGTCAAAAAATATTGATTAGATCAAAAGTTATAAACAAAAGAAGTTTATTTATGACTTTTGAATTAAACATTTATTAACTGCGGTATTATTACCAGAACGTTTTGGCATCGCATCCTCCCATTCCTTATCACTGTCTAATAACTCACACGAAATCTGGAATCGGTAAGTTGAATAGTTTACAAGTTATGGCCTTATAAACAAATTATTAGTCCGAACGATCCCGAGGATCTTCCACAATCGCACTGATTTTTTTGATGGTAGATTTCATAATAATACATTAAAATATATCATTTTTTTTTAATTTCAAATTTGCAACCTGGATTTTTTTTTATTTTTTAGCCTTAGTTGCAAAATGAAATATATGACGCACGAGCGTGATATAGTTATATATTATTACATATTCGGAAAGCTTATGAAAAGAGTTTTAAGTTAAAAACAAATCGTCAAGATTCGTTGAAAAACAACGGAGTTACAGACTGTCAAAGTTGACGGCCTATTGTTAAACAAATTAGGTTGGTAGCGGCAAAAAAAATACTGTCGTAACCGGCAACCCGAGTACTTTCCCAGGTAAAAATATTTTATTTGTGGAACTATGTTAAGTGTATAAGAAATATTGTCAAAAGTTAATGGGTCACTTGATTTTCGGCGAGTCTAGGCGCGGCGGAGGTGAGGGGGAAACGAACGACAGCGAGTCCGAAGAAAATGACGATAATATTCATAGTCCTGCCGTTAAATAAGCGAAATTCGCTTGAAAATAATATATTTGACAGCCTGTAACTCCGTTGTTTTTCAACGAATCATGACGATTTTTTTTAATATGAAATTAATAAAAAAATGATAGATTTCAATTTTTTATTATGAAATCTACTACGAAAGAAATCAGTGCGATTGTGGAAGATCCTCGAGATCGTCCAGACTAATAATTAGTTAATTTATTTATAAGGCCATAACTTGTAAACTATTCTACTTACCGATTCCAGATTTCGTGAGTTATTAAACAGTGATACGGAATGAAAGAATGCGATGCCAAAACGTTCTGGTAAGAATAACGCAGTTTATAAATATTTAATTCAAAAGTTCTTCTGTTTATAACTTTTGATCTAATCAATATTTTTTGACGCTCGAGGGCTAGTTATGTAGGTCTTTTGAAGACGAAAAAAAAAAGTACTTACTGTTTTCTCGTGGAAATGAACGGAAAAAAGTTATAAGCGAAAAACCTGAATTTACGTAAAAATTATACAATTAACCACCCTGTAAACAATCTTCCCCCCATTTTTATGACTGTGGAAACTAATATTTTATTGTACATAATATTTAGCATATATAGTGATAAATTCATGTACGACTTGTTTGTTTTATATATTTATTCAACATTTGAGCGTGCAAAAAACGGCATTAAGTGTCTTACTGGTTTCGGATATTTTGGAGATCTCGTCTCAACCAGTGAAGAACACTTACTAACCTTAATATGTAGTATTCTTGCTTCGACAATCTCAGAAGATTTTAGAAAATCTGTGCGGCGTTATAAAAAATGATCCATGACGTTAAAATTTATCTGAAATTATCCTGCTATAAGGAAATGATTAAATCCTTGATAAATAAGTATATTATATTTTAAAGACAATATGAACATGCAACTAAAAAATTGTATCGTGTACCTACATCTGATTTTGCTATCTTTTCATAGATAAACACGAAAAAAATAAATTTTAAATTAAAAAGAATTAAGATAATACCCACCGGTATTAATAAAATTGTCGATGCTAATCAACTTTTTTGTGCAGATACATTGTTTTTTTTCCTCATTCTCTGAGTTAGTCCTTGAAGAAATAAATGAATTACATCTAATCGACGTAAACATAAGTAAAAAATAAATTAATAATAATCAAATTTAAAATATCTTCTGCGACTCTTGCAGCGATCCATAAAATGATAAATCCGAGTGACTACCATGATCAGCAGTCGTGGTCAATAAACCACTCAAACGACAACCCGATAGTATTTTATTGTTTCTGTATATCATCACTGTCATCATGATGCACGATTGAGAACAAATTATGACCCTGCATTATGCAATTTATGTAGATTCCAAAAAATGTTTAATTAAAAATTAAAATCGTACCTCTTATTGTATAATTGTAGCTATAAATCTTTTCTTGACTCTCTTCTAAACAGGTTTAGTAACAAAAAGTATACAAAGTGCCACAAAAGAATCATGTTAGCTTATTTATTTGTTTGTTTGTTTATTTGTTTCTTTGTTTAATTGTTTGTTTATTTGCTTGTTTGTGTGTTTGTTTTATTTACATAATTATTTATTTATTTGCACCTGATGAAACTCGAAATACTCCAATTAAATTTAATTAAATTAAAATACTTCTATGTATGAACAACATAAAATAACAAATTATTTTTAATTGTAAAAAAATTACGTCATGAACAAACAAAATACAAATCTTTAATATAACCTAAAATTCAGTGGACTCAGTCCTAGCTTCTCTCTAATCCTTATAAAATATCTATAGAAAAAAATCTATACGATTAAAATACTCATAAACTTCATAATAAGTTGAACAGGACCCGTTTTTCAATAAAATGAAAGAGGTCTTGTTTGTCTGGAATTCAATAATAATAATTCAAATAATCAAATGAAACGACAAAATTTCCAAAATACTCAGTGGCTTCGAAACTGTGAAGAAGACATGATGTCTGCCAATATCTCCGCCACTGGTTGTTTGCAAACTCAGCAAATTTTTGCCTCATTTGGGATATTTAAGCAGATATTATATTTTTCAAAAAGTTTATTGCTTTAAGTAAGTCCATGTGTACATTTTTCATTAAAATGATCTAAAGCAGTGTATTCAATTTTTTTCTTTGGCGGACCCCCTTATTCTAAATTTCAGTATAACCGGAGTTAGAGTAAACGTATTTTAGTTTTAGTTAGAGCCTGTAGAGGGTTAGAGATTTGGATTAGAGATTAGATAGCAGGTAAATATGATTTTTTTATGTCATTTATTTTAATTCCTCAGTACCTACATTATCATAAGTACAATATTTACATCGAAATTTAGACAAAGATCAAGTTTTCATTTACCATTTGTAAATGAAAACTTTGAGCTTATTTATTAACATAATGGTTTTTTGTGCATGGCTGGTTGCGGAGTTTATTTTTTAAACGAACGAAAAAAAATATATATTTATTGTGGAATACTAAAAACTTATGGAATTGTTTCAGTATTATACTAGGAGATTCCTTCGCGTAACCTTTAAGACGTCCTCACATACCCCTGGTTGAATACCACTGTCTAAAGAATCAACCTGCTTTATTATAATGTAAACTCATTTATTCCACCATCGCGTGAGACAGTAGCTGACCTAAGTTGCGATTTTTCCCACAATTTAGAAAAATATGTATTTAGGTAATCACAGGGTTGCATTTAACACCACAGGTCAAAAAGGATTCAATAATAATAATAATTTTCTCACCACCACTGGCGTATATCGACCTCAAAAAGTGGGAAAGCATATGATAAATTAAGTGCAACGTTTTTAGTCAAAATTAAGAGTATTAAAAAATATTCTAGGGATTCGTGGATAAAGGGACCAACTGTCCATTATTCAGTTAAAGTAAAAAAATATATAAATTCCCAACGTGTTTCAATGGGTGGTAGAATTTCCGCAAAACCAACTTTTCGCAGCAACTTGAAAAAATGACTTGGTTCTTGCCCACAATTACATCAACTTATGACATAATTGATATGTGCGTTTCTAAATTATCTACTGCCGCTAGGAGAACTTATCCTTCTTTTTCTTATAATAATTATTAATATTATTAACGCCAAAGCGAAGTTTTGGCGTACATGTAAAACTAACGGAAACTAAAAATTTGCGAAGTAAAGATGAAATCGACATAACTTACCAGACATTTATGGGCAACGCAGAAGCATATATTAAAGACAACCCTAGTAACTTTTGGATGATTATTCACAGCAAAAATGATATTCCACAGTTATATTCCAATCCTTGCATTATAATGGGCGTCACATTGATAATGTTAATAATATTATTGTTGCATTTGCTGATGTATTCTCCAAATCTTATTGACCGTCATCTTCTTGCGCCAATAATTTATTTGCCAACGATAACATTAACAATTCTGTACATATTCTTAACGTCAACGAAACCGAAGCTTTAAAAAGTATTAAACCTAAAATAAGTATCCCGGATCCTAGCATTTCGGATAAAATGCTGTGTTCAGATTTTTTCTTTTCCCTTAAAAAAATTAATCAACTTATACCTAACTGTGCGCAGGTTACTTTATCTTTTATTTGGAAGCTTTCAAAAATATGTCCAAATTTCAAAATAGGTGGTAAATTTAACTTTCCTAATTTCGTTCCATTTCCATTAAATGTTAACTTTTGTAAAGTATGACACTAGTCGGAAATACTGTTCTCGGGACTTTCTTTTTAAAATTTTATATTATTTGACGGACTACTAGGAGTTTTTTTCTAAATTGTCTTGTTCTATCTCCAAAATTTGTCTTTAGAGGAAGCAGGACATTTTTTTTATCGACTCCTCGTACTAATATAACCAAATACTCCCCACTTCTTATAACATGTGACAACTGCAATCTGTATTCGTAGGCATTTTTAACTGGAGCTTAATGCTTTAAAACAACTTTATTTTTGATAAGTATGTAATTTAATATTTCTTTATATGTTTTAATTAGTGTGTAAGTTATACTTTTTTATTACTTTGATGATGTTTCATCATGATGTTTTTTTTGTTCAATTTTCGCCTGTAATTAATTGTTATCTTTTATACCCTCGTTCTATAATTGAGTACGACCTATTGATAGGTGTATTAAATTAATTAATTAATTAAATCAATAATAGTATTGCTTATTTATATACGTATTGAGAATAGTACATGAATAAATCTATTTTTTAGTGTTTGTTTATGCTATTTTATGATGAAATCTCGTCAATAATTCTTTTCTATTATGTGTTATTTTTTAATAATCATTAATAAATTACTATTTTTTAGATGTGAGATTCCTGCTTGCGATTCAGACACTCCTGAATACGAGCCTTCTTGGTTGATCAACGCAGTACCTTACAAAGGAAGTACACCACAAAACTGCGAAATGTATTTGCACATATCAAATTCAAGTGACGTCGTCAACGAAAATTGTTCCGCTGATAACTTTGATACCAGCCATAAGTTGAGATGTTCGTCTTTTGTTTATAAAAGTACAGAGAAAAGCATACTCCAAGAGGTAAGTTGATGAAATATCCCCATATGATATATCCCCATCAGATACACCTCTATATGAAAATGAAGGCGGTACCTAAAATAGAAACCACATTCACTTTTGAGAATCACAATATATTTTTTTAAATGGTAAAATCAACTAATAGAAATTAATTTTATTTATACAGGGTGTTTTTGAAGTCTAGTTCACAATTTCAGAGCTGTGCGCCTTAGACCATTTTAGGTCAAAAGGTTTTGCTGAACTAGAATCCGAAATAAAAGGTAATGACATTCTAAAAGTATATGACATTTTCTTTTTCAAATATATCTGAAGATATTTGAAATAGATCAGTAAAACTTAAACTATTGACTTCAATTAATTAAAGAAAAAAATTCATTGAAGAGGTATAACTATATTGTCATTGAAAACAGAAAAATTTCTTCGTTTCTAAGTTTTTTTTAAAGTTGTTGGGGGTATTTGTTTCCCAGTTATATTACAAAAAATGTGTTTTCCATTTTATTGAACCAATGAAAAATATACCTATGTTCGATTCACAAAACTAAATATACCTATAGGAAATGTCTAATCAAATTTCAGTTTCATATACAGGGTGTCTCATAATTAGCTGCCAGCCCTGAACAGGCCGATTCTATGATCAAAACTAAGTGAAAAAGTTTATATGAACATGGGTCCGGAAATGCTTCCTAAGGGCACAGGGACCCATTGAAGAGGGAGGAATGGAAATCATTTTTTTGCAATATCTCTCAATCGGGTTGTGATAAATGAATGAAATTTGGTATACACAGCTAAATTTTGATGAGCAATTTGATGGACTAATCCATTTATTTCCACAACTCCATTGGGGTGGGTACGGGGGGGCTCTTGGTACTTTGCGTGTGTAACTTTTTCATCTTTGACTTTTTGACAAATTGGACAGCAAATTCCGATTTCCCGAACTGTTTTACGTTAAAAATGTACTCTTGTTTAAATTACTATGAAATTGACCAAAGTGGGATTAATTCAAGAGCGATTTTCTCAGAAACCGTTAAAGATAACGATTTGAAACAAGAGTACCTCTTTAACGTAAAACAGTTCGGGAAAACGGAATTTGCTGTCCAATTTGTTAAAAAGTCAAAGATGAAAAAGTTACACACGCAAAGTACCAAGGGCCCCCCCGTACCCACCCCAATGGACCTTGTGGAAATAAATGGATTAGTCCATCAAATTGCTCATCAAAATTTAGCTGTGTATACCAAATTTCATTTATTTATCACAACGCGATTGAGAGATATTGCAAAAAAATGATTTCCATTCCTCCCTCTTCAATGGGTCCCTGTGCCCTTAGGAAGCATTTCCGGACCCATGTTCATATAAACTTTTTTACTTAGTTTTGATCATAGAATCGGCCTGTTCAGGGTTGGCAGCTAATTATGAGACATCCTGTATAGTTTAACCATCAAAAGACCAAAGTTTTTTAGACGTTATATCTCCTACAGAGTTTCTCAGATAATTGAAAATTTTCAGCAATGATTTTTTTAGATATTTGGTTATATTTTATGTAAAAGTGTATTTAAAACAAAAACATCCTGTAAATATTATTTGCAAAATAACCAGTTTTAGAATTATTTTCGATTTTTTTAACTGTGCAATAAGTTGATTTTAAATTTAAATTAATTCGAAAATGACTCGCTTTTGATGAAGTGACTAATCGACATATGTGTGTAATAATTCACCATTAATTAATTAGTTGAACCCTTAACCCAAACTTCATCGATCTATTCTTCACAGATATTTGTAACGTTTTTTAATTTCTCGGAAACCAGTGACTTTGGCGCATTAAGACTTTTTGACCTAGAATATCCTGACAATTAATGACCTAAAATTATGACATGGACTAAAAGAACATCCTGTATACAATACTGATATAAATCTGCAGCCGTTTTTAAAATTATTTTTAGGCTTTAGCTGCCAATAGCTGTGTTATAATTTTTTTAAATATATGACCTATGATAACAGTTCAATATTTATCGTATTATGTAGCGAACTAGTAAGTACAGAATATCGTTTACTTATTATGTCAGTCAAATGCCAGTGTTGTTTATCTTCCATAAATACTCGTACATATTTATGTATTAGTAAATATTTAAATAAAGATTGCTACTTATTTTAGTATAGTAGTATAGTATCAATTCAGTTCAATATATTACGTAATTTTTGCATCGGAATTAGAACTCAATTAGGAACGAAAAAATTTATTTTTAAACAATATTTTCTTTCAATTTTATTATTAAAAATAAATCATTTTCATTATAACGGAATTACAGAGACTACTGGTAAACAGTGATTGATTTTACTCATTAAAATAATGATACAAGCTCCTATAAAACTTTATTAAAAGCTCAAAATTGACGAAGTTGTGTAGACAAAGACTATTTTTTAAGTTGCCGTAACTTTTTTTCAGTTAGGCCAATTTTTTTCATTTTTGGAATTTATGTTTTTGATAACAATAAAACGGTTCTTGATTACAAAATATTTACAGTTTCCCAAAAAATCAGAGGACTCAATATTATGGATATTTAAGACACCTTACGGAAAGGTCCTCTTTTAAGTTGATAATCTTAATTTTTAATAGTCAATAAACGAAACAGAATTTTAATATGTAAATGAAATTTGTTTTATAATTATAATTGTCAGGATAAAAATGTGACGCCGAATTATTTTTAATTACGCTGAATAATAAAGAAAAATTGTAAAATAGTAATACCTACTAATAATAATTTATCAAAATTTGAACAGAAAAGCAGTGGCGGCTCGTCGTATGAAGCAACTTATATTGTCATTATTTTCATACCTACTCTTATACTATTAACCTAAATAAACAGTTAGGTAAACTAATTTCCAATTACCTATTACATTTAACAAAAATCAAAATAACAATATAAAGTAATTGTTTGAATATTGAATATCTCGCCGCTCGCCGTTTCCATCGGCAATTCTTTGCTTGTAAGCGCATCACACTTGCCTCCTATAGTACGATCATTCTCGATGCAAAGTAATAAATCATTGCCTGTCAAGGGAACCAATGACGTACGCTTTTAAGGGTTTTACAAGTTGAATAATTTCTTTATACATTATGAAGGGACGAGGGGATCAGTTCAGGTCNCGTTTTTTAAGTTGATAATCTTAATTTTTAATAGTCAATAAACGAAACAGAATTTTAATATGTAAATGAAATTTGTTTTATAAATATAATTGTCAGGATGAAAATGTGACGCGAATTATCTTTAATTACACTGAATAATTTAAAAAAATTGTAAAATAATAATAGGTACTAATAATAATTTATCAAAAGTTGAACAGAAAACCAGTGGCGGCTCGTCGTATGAAGCAACTTATATTTTCATTATTTTCATACCTACTATTATACTATTAACCTAAATAAACAGTTAGGTAAACTAATTTCTAAAGTAAACATATATAACAATATAAAATAATTGTTTGAATATTGAATATCTCGCCGCTCGCCGTTTCCATCGGTGGGGCATTGAATACTGTTACTCCCCACTAGTCTCCGCCATAGTGAGGCCAGAAATTCTTTGCTTGTAGGCGCGTCACACTTGCCTACAATACGCTACCGTTCCCCCTCCACGCGAGGCGGTTAAAATAACGTGATTTACGAGGGAATTGAGGCCCGCTCAAAGCTGCTTATAGTTTCAGTTCGCGATTAATGTACGCGTAGCATAGTACGCAAACAGTGTCTGATGTCAGTGTGGGGGATAGTACAAAGGCTTTAAGGATAAGGACAAGGCTGGTATTAATTTAAAGTAAATAAAAAACTTTCTACATAATGAAACTATCTCACAATATTGTTTTATTTCTTGAAACACATTTTTCAAGACGTATTGACGTAAACTACTGCTCTAAACAAATTAAAATCACTAGTCAAAAAATTTCTCAATTAAGAAACGAAGAAAAATTTAAAAATATTTTTAATTATGTGAAAAATATTACTGGACTACCAAGTAAACGGGGCAAAAGTTGCGTCGAATTAGAAATATTTTCGAAATATATTTCCCCTTTACATACTCGTTTTCGGAATTTATATGATTTAATTTTTTGCTTTAATTTAATTTTGAGGAATTTCCTCAAAATTTCCCAAATATGCAAACAAATTTCCCGAAAAATCGTTTGAATATTTATTACAAATATATCCAAACGTTTTTGAAATACATAGGTTGAAAAACGAACTTAATATTTCGTATAGAGACGAACAATTTCGTAATTTCGAAGTTCAAAAAACGATAGAAATATTATACAAAGAATTTAAAATGGAATTTTCGGAAACATGCAAATTGTTTTGCCCAGTTTTAACAATTCCAGCAACAAGTGTCTCGGTAGAAAGAAACTTTTTGTGTCTTAATCGCATTAAGACTTAGAAATACTATGACACAATAGCTCTTAAACAACTATTGCAAAGTCTTAGTGCCGATCCTCAATTTTATGAAGACATTAGAAGCGCAAATTTAAAATACGGACGAATAAACCTATTTTATAAAAACAATCACTGTGTTTTTAAAATATTTTGTTACAAGTGGAGGCAAACGAAAAGCTGGCGGCGTGGTTTTATATGTAAATAGATAAGTTGGCTGGCTACCTTATGAAAATTAGTTTTTATATTTTTTCATATTTTTTAATATTCATACACCAAGTAGGAACAATTTTGTTAATTATTAGGTAAATATATAACTTTGTTTTTTTCTGTTACTTAATTTTATTGTAAATACAATTTCTAAAGTTCTGTTATTATTAATAATATAATTTTTATTTTTTCCTTATTATTTGGGAGTGGATGAATAAAATATCCAAATAGTTGCGTATTATTTTTTATAAAATCTGAATGAAAATCCTGCTCGTGAACATCAGTTTTTCTATAATATTGTAAATGCAACTAAAAATTTCCAGATGCATTTAGTCGTTTGACCTTAAAAATTATTATTTTTTCTTTCTTCCCCACCTAGTAAAAAATCCACGGGGCTCATCTAATTACAACGTAACGAGCCACTGCAGAAAACTTAATTCATAAATTTACCGTGTTTTTTTTCGGTTACTATAAACTTGGAACAAGAGTATCTTTTTGTAATACAGCTTCTTTATATACTATTTGAAGTAGATTAACATAAGTATAGGATTATATGAGACATTCTTCTTAATTTACTTAGCAATAATAGTATAATAAACGTATCAAGTGGAAAATATTTTATCTAGTCGTGAATTAACCTGTAGCTCTGTGCAAACATAACAACATAAAGATTTCATTCAATTTTCAACAATAGAAACATTTAATTATTTTGATTTATGACAGGATGTATTCCAGCACGCACTTTTAATTTATTAATTCGCATAAATATACGCTGTAGTTGTCAACAGCCTAAAATTTATCTAACCTAACACGTAATTAGATAAAAAAAATACCACAAAATTTTACTAGGTCATTAATACGGAGGCAACGAGTGTTTTAGTAATTGAAGGTTCTGAATGATGGGTCATTTCCTTCATAACAATTTTAAGGTTCAGAAATACGTTGTTTTAATCAGGTACCTGTAAAGCTACGAAACTTATAAGAAATAAACATGTTTTTGTTTACTAACAATTCAACATTTGTTTTGGGAACACCATTTTTTCGTCCATCATTTGAACTTGACAACGTTTGCATATATATGTATACAATGCAACTAAATTATCCTATTAATTTAATAAATATTTTAGCAGCATTGCTTTCTACATTTTCATATAAAATTTTCTATTTTCGTTCTGTATACATACATGACCTACATTAAGATAGTACGAGTGCCGACATTGAAGAAGCCTTGAACTAGTGTAAACCTGATCATATTAACAATTTATGAAGTGCAAAAATGTATGCATAATATATTATTCTGCTCGAATAAAAAATACTGTCAAGGAGATCAAGGAAGGTTTCACATACGGTATTAAGGTCAAAATTTACATGCAAAAAATTAAAATGCGACATTAGTCAATGAGTATTCTTCTAATTTTAAGATTTGTTTGTAAAAGATAAAGCGACACTCAAACTGGTTAAAACTACTACATACTGCAATATTTCACAAACATGTCGCGGGATCTTGACCCAAATTCAGGGTCATAGTAAAATTAATTTTATTGCGTTAAGTATATTTATAAGTCAAAATTTTGACCTAATGGAAAAAATTAACAATGTCCATTTTCCAGTACGACTTACACTGTGACGACAACTTATGGAAAATAACAATGGTCGGAACTGTCAACAGCATCGGCCAATTCTTCGGATTGTTTGTATCTGGCATTGTTTCAGACAAGTAAGTATTTTTTTCTGCTTTTTCCATATATTCATAGTTTTTATTTAACCTTCTACGTATAATCTTATGTTTTAGGTATGGTCGAAAGCTTGTATTAATTTGGGGAATGGTTGTCTGTTCCATTTGTGGAATAATACGTACCTTCATGCCAACCTATGAATTGTTTCTCGTCTTTGAATTCCTCGATGCTGCATTTGGTTCTGGAACATATATTTGTGGATTTGTTTTAGGTAATAAAATTTTACGATTAATTATCTCTAAAATATGAAACAAACAAACAAATGAGTAATTCGTTATGTCTAGAAAGAGAAATTCAAGCAAGACAAGATCCTAACTGTTGATATTACGGGGAACAACTATTTTATGCTCTGCATGGCCCAACTAGTATTAAATTACACCAACAATATCTAGTAAACAGTTAGTAATAAATATAAACCTTGTTTTTGCATTTTTGAGTTCTGGTTTTGAAGACTTCAATTGGTAAGATTTTTTAGAAGAGAAATTTGAATTTAATTGAATTAACTTACCACCTTTACAATAAATTAAACTACAAAATAATAGAACATATACACATACTGATATAATTGAAGTTGTTAAAATAATGTAATTATTCACTACAATAAAAATACATAATATCGAGTGTCTTTAAATTCACGTAAGATTTGATTTTTGCGCCACTTGTGCGGTAAAGTGTAGTCAACGAAAAAAAAGACAGCGTAACAGCTGACAGTTCTGAGTTATTAAAAACAGACAAATTCGACATTTCGAGAAGCTCTCTACAGCATATTCTCATTAAAGATTTACATCATGCTTACAATGTTCAATATATACCCAAGAAGTCTAGGTACTAACCACGCAGAGCAAAGAGAATAGTAGAATATAATTATATTTTTTAGAAAGTAATAACATTTCTGTTTATCAAAATTTATAATATAATAATTAGGAAAATATCAAATAGTTTTGACAGGGATTAACTGAGTAGTGACAAAAAGACAAGAAGAAAATTATTAATATTGATTTCATTTCATTAAAATAAAATCATAACAGAATTCAATAATATCTGTCTTAATAAATGTATAATCTTCATATCCAAGAAATATATTCTTGGAATATACTGTTTATAGATAACATAATAGAAATTCCTTTTATTGAAAATCCATCTCGACTTCAAAGGCTGGTATCTTAAATTAGCAACACAAAATTTAGAATTATAAATTGTAACTTTGTTATAAATTGAAAACAAATTTTCGATTCAATGTTCAACTTTGATTAAACCAGCTTTAATTAAATCATCTTTCAACTTGCTTTATTTGTGTGGCAAACTACTTAACTGATATTTAATAAAATTAGGTAATTAACTGTAATTATTTTCCAAGTACCAATTAATTATTACGATACTACGATTATATGTATATTAGTTTACAGTATGTCTATCTTTTAAACATGTTGTTAATGCTAACACTAAAACGTTTTTTATCAAAGTACAACTTTCTGGTTATCTTCCAAATTGAGTGACTTCGATATTTAGAATAAATAATATAGTACCTACTTAATAAAATAATTTTGCTTGTCTAAGGTTTTAGTTTTAAAATTTTCTTTCATATTCTTTTAAAATATTTTGCAGGAGTGGAATTAGTAGGACCAAAGACAAGAGTTTTAACTGGTATATTAGCCAGTTCGTGCTATGCCGTTGGAGAAGTTTTCACAGCTGGGGCCGCTTGGATTATTAAATCTTGGAGGTAAGTTTATAATCCACTACTTCCTATCATTTTCTTTATTTTCAATCATTTAATTTATCTCTTTCCATTGCGGCAATGTTGTCGATCTAAGTATTCCATTGATTTTTATGGTTTTCAGCTTCTCAACATATATGGTCTTGTATTGCAAATATACAGGGTGTGGCATGTATAATCTATAAAAATTAAACTACAGCTTCCTAACGATATTTGTAATAGAAAAGTCTTATACGAAAAAGTTCTACTTTTGCGTTTTTTTTTTTTCGTAAATTAAAGTTCAATTATGGATCAAAATATTTTCTCTGAAACGGTCCCGTCCGTGTGCTGTATTTTTGGCAAATTTTTCAGTGCAACAGTACAAACTAAGTAAAATAGATATTTTAAAAAAACTGATATTTTCTTATTATAATAATAAATAGTAATTACTATCTTAAATGCATTGTTGTTACTGCGTGCCCAAAATGAAACAAAATTTACCAATGACTTCAAGTGACCATTGGAGTTAGATCGGGTGACCGAGGTAACCACGGCACAGGACCAAAGCGTCGAATCCATCGCTGAGGAAATTTTTCATTCAAAAGTGTCGTTACTAAACTTCTCGAGTGCTGTTTGGAGGAGTCATGTCTTGAAGATAAAACATGCGTGCCCAAACTTGTAACGCCACATCGTCCAATAATTCAGGCAACCGGTTTTCCAAAATGTCAGCATACTTTGGTCCATTTAGTCGTTCTTCAAAGAAATAGGGACTCACAAGTATATCGCCTATTATGCCAGCCCAAACATTTACCGCGGCGAGAACAGATGTTAAAAATGAGTTTCCCTAATCACGTGAGGATTTTCATCGGCCTATATGTCCATAATATGGAAATTCACTTCATCACGGGTAAATGTCGCCTCATCTGTTACACAAACATAAGCGGTAAAGTCTACTTGATTGGCACATTGCCGTAAAAATCATCTGCAAAAATGCATTCGTTGATCACAATCCGGGGGTAAAATATGGTTGCAGATGATAGGGGAGCAACTGCTGGCGCCTTAAGATACGATGTACGGTACGAGATGAGATTCCTACTTGCTGTGCGAGTCGTCGAGTACTAATTGTGGGGTCTTCGTCAAGATTTTCCAATACTGCATCTTCAAAATTAAGGTTCGCGTCCTTTTCCTCGAGGAATAACACTTCCCGTATCTCGAAGCTACTGAACGTACTGTAAGATTGTATTTGCACATGGGGGGTGACGTTGTGGCCATCGTTCCCGGTACAACCTAGTCAAAACACTTCCAAAGTTTTTAATAAACAGGATCGGGCTTCATTTTCGTTGAATAAATGAACTTTAATTTACAAAAAAAACGCGAAGATATAACTTTTTTGTATAAGAGTTTTCTATTACAAATATCATCAGGAAGATGTAGTTTAATTTTTATAGATTATACACGCCACACCCTGTATACAGTACTTATATGCCATCACCCTCTTCCTTTACTGTAATTTGCAGTCTATTATAGACCTTATTTCCTTTTGTTCCTATATAAACATTTTCAGTGAAGGATAATACATTAATTATTTAAGTAAAACACAGTACAATACAACTCCACCTTTTTTTTCAGGCCTCTCATCTATGTACTGTATTCTCCAGGTTTCTTCCTCTTAGTCTACCTCTGGATATTGCCCGAGTCTATACGATGGAACTTAAGCAAAGGCAGAATAGAAGAAGCCAAGAAAACACTGAGGACGACAGCAAAATTTAACGGGATAGAACTATCAGAAAACGCTCTAGAGAAACTGTCCAGTGTCGATATCGACACACACCTAAAAGAAGTGAACACCTTGAAGGATGCTTGTAAATCTACCAAGCTGATATTGAGGCTGATCAACTGTTGTTTTTGTTGGATTACTTGCACTTTCTTATTTTACGGACTGACGCTAAACTCAGTAGCGCTGGCTGCTGGAAACAGTTATCTTGATTTCATTTTGACTGCCCTGGTGGAGATACCCGCATACGTCTCTTGTCACTACATGCTTGAGTATTTCGGAAGGAAGAAATCCTTGACCGCCTCCTATTTGATCACTGGAATGGCCTGCGTTGCGTTTATTTTTGTTCCATCAGGTAACTTCATCCAATTGATGCTATAATTTTAATTATTTTTTCGCATTTTTCAAATATTTCTATAAAATAAAAATTAATTTTTTTAATCTTTCTCACTTCCATCTAATATATTAAAGGGCCACGCACAATTACATTAAAAAGTCGGCTCGGTCTAAATTGAAAATTGCTGTGGATACGTGGAATTTTTGGCCTCTGGAATGAAGGTCCGATCAAAACAACCCCGGCAGATGTTTTTTTATGTCTGTTTTTGGCCATTTTTACTCCTTGCGTATATGCGTTTAACCCCGGAAAGGGGTTAAACGCCAAACGAAGCGATTTCGGATATAAATGAATTAACCTAAGTCTGCCTATTTTGAGTCCACGAATCTGTGGTTTTCCGTTGTGCACGTTATTTTGGGACACCCTGTACATATAACCTATTCTACAAGCCACAGTTAAGTCTTAATCACTCCACTACGGTATAATTAAATAGAAAATTTGAAAATAAAAAAACAGATAAACAGTCAAAAAACGTAACAACAGACGAAAAAATAAAAAAAACAAACATAAAAGATGAAAACAGACAAATAGAAATAAAACAAAAGAGATCAAGAGGTCACCACCTCTACGCCGTCAGATGATCTCGGGTGCCGCGAAGTGTGAGCAAAAATGAGGGATAACGTTTTTTTGCACCAGTAACAAGGATCGCACAGACATATGTAGATTTTGGATAAGGAGATTTGGTCGCTGATATACAAAAAGCGTTTTCACCTGCTTGAAGGGTGATTTTGGCGCGTGACATTATGTTTTTGGATTGTATCATCCTCAGAGACGGAGATGGAGGAGAACGGGTCGGTGGAAGAGATCAGAGACGCATTTAACCACTCTTGGGGTTGGTTCTTGGCCATTGGGAGGGAGGGTATATGTGCGTTTAACCCGTCTTTGGAGTACTTATCGGCCAGTTTAGGAGGAGGGTTTAGGGTGCCTTCCTTGCAAATGAATGACATCTCTATCCGCATTGCGTTTCTGCTCCACTATACATGTGTCTGAAATGCTACAAAAATGGAGTAAAAATGACCAAAAACAGACAAACAAACCGTCTTGTCTGTCAAAGTTTTTTTGATCGGAACTTCATTGCCGAGGCCAATAATAACTCCATAGCAATTTTCAACGTTCACCGAGACCACTTTTAATATAATTAGTGCATGCTTGATAATATCTATTTTCCTGTAATCTACATTTAGATTTCTCAATGATTTTGAACTAGCTGGAACTAGCTATCGTCGCTATTTATTATAATCCAAAAAAACCTTTGATATAAATAAATTTGTAGTAATAAACGTTTATTACCTTGCTTACTTATTAATTCTTATCATTTAATTCACATTTCTCAACATTGTAAATATTATTGTAATATTTGTTAAAGCAGTACGATTACATAATAAAAAAATGCTTATCTTAGATAGAAGGCTGCAAATGGAATTTATTGCAAACTGATTTTAGACAATCAATCGACTCATTTTTATAATATGAAATATGTTAATGAAGCATTTGATGTGCATGGCATATCTAAAGATAACGCAGCCCCACAAAAAAAAAGGTCGTGATCTGGATGACTGACCATGGCATTCCTATGTATTTTTCCACGCTCAATCCGAATCTGGGGTCAAAAAATTTCGTATACCGCTTAACTTTTTTTGCAGAGCCAAAAATATTCCGGCTAATGCGCAGTAAAAACAAGAAAAAAATTCCTCTCCCACATCTATGTCCGGAAGGATATAGAAGTAGAAGGGGTACCAAACCCTTCGGAGGAGCCCGATACATAGGTCCAGATCACGACTTTTTTTTTGTGGGGCTGTGTAATCATTACAGTAGTGGAATGGAATGTTAATTTGACAATTAAAGAGAGATATTTCACACTCATTAACACATTTCTGGATTTTTCAATTCATCATATCTTTATTTATTATCTGTGTATGACTTGCTACACCGGCATTTGTTTTTTAGACTCTCATGTCGGCAGCCTCTCAGTTTATTTGCTGGGTAAATTTGGGGCCACAGCCGCCTTTACAAACCTATACGTTATCACAAGCGAAATGTTTCCAACGACCATGAGACACTCTTTTATGGGAACCTGTTCCACTTTCGGAAGGTTGGGGTCTATGATAGCTCCACAAACACCCCTTTTGGTAAGCGTCAATATTGAAAACATTTTTAGTTGCCAGCTAAATGACACTTTTTATACGTAAACATAAACAATACAAGTTTTCCGACGTGAAACATATGAAGGAGACTTTTATTGTCCACGGCTGTACTTTACAAAACGATTTGTTCTTTTCTCAGGCTCAGCTTTGGACGCCTTTGCCGCTCGTCAGTTTTGCAGTGATGTCGATTATCGCAGGATTCCTGACGTTACTCTTCCCTGAAACCTTAAATATTGAACTACCTGATACCATCCAAGAAGCAGAAAATATTTCCAGACGCCGCAAAATTTCTGAAAAGCAGGAAAAAAAAGAAAAGAGCTAATTTTTTATTGTTAATCGAGGTTTTTTATATTCTATTCAAACGGGTACATATGTAAATATATGTAGTATTAAATTAATGTTATTTATTAAATTTCTGAATTCCAAATTATTTGTTAAAAGATGTATGTATTCTATATTAGAATTAATTGTGTGAATTCATGTGAATTTGAGAGATTTTTAAATAAACTTGTTTCGTTTTTTATCATTTGAGCAAATCAATGAAGCTGGAATTAGTTTGAGTTTCTATCTCTATTATACAGAACGTTTCATGTAGGGCAAACTTTTTGCAAAATTTCTAAAATAATTTTTATCTAAGCTGAAAATTTCTGAAATTTGTCCAAGAAAAATTCAGAAGTGGCGGACTAGTGTTTCAGCAATTATAAAAACTACGTAGCTTAAATGTAAAGCCTCCAAAAATGGTTACAGCACTGCAGAAATATCTATTCGAGTGTGATCTTGATGATATGAATGATATGAATCAAGAAATGACATGAATTTATGTCATTTTATATGTGTCTTGGATAACCAAAACAATTTAAGTAAGCACCAAAAAGAAAGGGTTGATTTAAAGCCAATTTCCAGATAGGGCACCATGCTCAGTCTGATTTTATCGTTTTTAATTAATGACATTGTGGTAAATAACTGTTTCACGGGCTATATGCCCCAACTAACATTGAATAACACCCCCAATATTTTGTACATAGCCAAGATCATTCGTCAGGAAAGTCACAAAGCAATATTTTATGCCAATAGCAATGACATTTAAGGTATTTCATACGACATATGACATAATGCTTTATTTCTTTACCGTATCGGTAAATGCGAAAGGCTATTGGCTAAATCAGCCAATCGACGACATGGTGGCAATTAGTATTTAATTCCTCAAAAATTAAACCGTTTTCAAAGCCATATTTTTGGACTCGAGAATGCATGTATTCAATAAAATATTAGGTACGTTAATTTGATATTCAGTTCAAATTATTTTATTAAATATTGAAATACATTTTTCTTTCTTTCTTACCCTTTAAATTCAATCTGAGACTACAATCAGACTATATCTAATCGTAGTTAATATAAGAGAATTAAAGGATCGTCTTTATCTCATCTCATCAGGTATTAAGCAATCAAGTCGACATACACAGTAGAATATATTAATTATAGAGATAATATATGAACAAATCTGATTCTTTACAATGTCACTTACTGTCTCTACCTACTAGTTTAGCTATAACGTGTGTGTACTTAATTCTGTGAAACCGAAGAGGTGCGATAGACATTAAATAAGGTTCATAATTGAGATACTATTGACAATATGTCAACTTCAGCAATTGATAACTCATTGGATTCCATTCTTGTGGAAATAGGTGATTTTGGGAAGTATCAGATCTATGTTTTTGTCTTAGTATGCATTCCAGTAGTATTACACTCATCAGTACACGTGGCTTATGTATTTACAGCCATGGATTTGACTTACAGGTAACGTAGTAAAAAAAAAGCTTTTATCCACATATATCAACCGTCGAAAGTGATACTTTATCCGCTAGTGGAGTAAAGTAACTTTACTTCACTAGTATAGAATAATGAAAAAATAATCAACGTATAATAAATCAAATTTAATTTATTTACCTGTTAACATTAACATTTACATTTATAGTAATAGACATTTCATTTTTTGTTTTATCACATTTAACTTCCTTTCCGTTAATAACAACCCTTGTAGCATTGTTGCCATCATTTTCGGAACGCATAACATCTACTGAAGTTTGTGAAGAATTTGCACAAGTTACGGATGTCTTTTCTTGACAGCTTTTCCTTGGATTTTCCTTGCAATATCAAGTTTTTTGGATATAGACTCCTCAACATAACTTTCTGCTACAGAGGAGCTCTTCCATCCACCATACCGTTCGATGGTTGTAAGATCAGCACCTTTATTGGCCAATATTGGATTTGAGATATTCAGGAATGAATCAACTATTGAGGGTGTTAATTCCAACAGGCAGAGAAGTACATTTTTGATTGATGTATATTAAAAATAATATGTCTTGTGTTAGGCGAATTGAGCGCAAAGAAATGTATTTTCTGCATATTTCAACAGCATTCACGCAAAATCCTTCTTCAATAATTGTAAATTTTCTTGAAATGCCCGTCTTGGTGTCAGTTACTGAAACAAGTAGGTAACTGCCACCGTCTTGTACGTCACTAATTTTCAAATTTGTCAATTCGCAGCATCGACAGGCTCCACAAACCCCCATTATTAGTGCTACCTAAAATAATTCAAAGTTCACTATATACCTAACAGCATGTGAAAGGTAAAGAAATATTACCTTAATCATTAAATATTCTTTATCGGAAGCCCCAGTCAAAAATTCTTAAAAATGTGCTCTTTCCATACTGCAGTTTTTTTTGCTTTGTATCCTCTCGATTCACTCTCTAAATAAGCAGTAAGTTTGTTATATTTTCCAATATCTATATTTTTGTAGACCTTTATAGTAGCCTTCAACATTAAATACTTCGACCACATAGACGAAATTGCATATGTTTTCTTCAAATTTAAAAAATACAATAGCGTGACTTCTTCATTTATTGTCATTTCATTGCTCTCTGTTTTTCCCTCCATTCGTCAAATTCGGCGAACACTTTTTCGTAATGTTCCCTGGATTTCGCTGGCAATAAATTGAAAATTGCTTCTTCAGCTTCATCAAAAACAGCCATAGTAACACAATTATTTTCTTGCATTTTTACCAAATTCAGATAGAACTGTTTATTAAATAATTGACAATAATCAACGCACCATAGCAACCAGTAGGTATAACAAAACGTACCGCGTTTCATTGAGTAGTAGTAAGAAATATCAAGTCGTGCGAGTATTTTTATTAAATTCCATTAATTCTGACTCAACAACTACGATTGTGATGTGATTATGGACAAGACGTATTTCATTCGTGTTTTAATTGCCTATTATCCACTTAAGAATATTAAAGGCTCAAACTACGTTCTCGCGTTTAAATATTAATGCGTGAATAAAATGCTACTTACTCGTAAAACACTATTATACTTAAAACATACAATAAATAACTATTAATAACATTTCTGTAAACTAAAGTAATACCTCAACAGCCTGACTTAAGGCAACAGTATCTATATCATACCACTTGAAGTATTAAGAAGTAATTAAAACTTAATTTCTCACGATTATTTCCAGATGTGGAATCCCAGAATGTGACCAAGACTCAACCGACTACGAACCACCATGGTTAATCAACGCTGTACCTTACACCCAAGGGATTCCTAACAAATGTGACATGTACCTTTACAACTCCACCGCTGAGGCAGCCAATGAGACTTGTTCTGCCAGCGATTTTGACAAAAATGAAGTTTCAAGGTGCTCCTCATTTATTTACAAAACAGATGAAGAAAGCATTCTACAAGAAGTGAGCTTTATTACTATTTACGCTTGACAGTTGCAACCATTGATTGTTATTTTTTTAGTATAATTTGCAATGTAGCGATAATCTATGGAAACTAACGCTAGTGGGAACAGTGAACAGTTTTGGGCAATTTTCTGGGCTCCTCATTGCGGGAATGCTTTCAGACAGGCAAGTATAAAATATCCTTAGATGAGGCAATGAATAGGTACATAATTTTTTTATACAAAACAAATTTATAATTATTATTAGAGGTAAGAATTTAACCCAGGAAGTATGTCATATCTTTAACGTCAAGTCGCTTCAGTGACTTTGGATACAAAGCATTACATTGTACCTACTGGCGATTCATGTACCTACTGATGATAACTATAATGATCTTAGCTGTTTACTGGATATTGCAGATGTAGTTCAATGCTGGACGCAGCCTATAGCGCGCAGAATAGTTGCTTTCCAAAATATGTGTCAACACGAAAAAAAATTGTATTTACTATAATTTATATATTTAGCAAATATGTCGAAGTACAATTTTGTTGTTTAAATACTAATAAAATTTCAAAATTTTATAGATTTTCTACGAATATTTCTATATATTGTATTTTCTGCTACTACGATACTTTGAAAAGTCTAAAAAATTTCTGTAAGTAATAATATAATTTTAATTATAATTTTTTTGAAAATTGTCTTCGAGTAGGTACTGAAAAAAATATATGCCACAAATTATTAGACATATGAATTTGCTCTAATATTTTGGAGCTAAAAATGTCAATAAACAAGAAATTTGGATGATATTTTTTCAGTTTTTCAAAAAAATTCATTTGTTGTTGCTTGCTTTGTACAATTACTCGCAATCTGGGTAGACAACAGCACTTAACACGTCTCCATATGTGACAGAACTAAAGCTGACTATACTCCGCGGTCGAAATTATATAGAGTGACTAAGACATAACATAAAAACACTATTACCATAATGCGTATAAAATATAAAATGATTTTTATACGGTTCAATATTATTTATCTTTGTGCCGCTCGCTACGCACATCGATAGAATCTATAATCGTCTAGAGACCGAGTTAGACTGAACGTCGATCTATATTCTAGCTCTGTCTTTTGCACTTGGTAGGGAACAGGGAAATGCTTTTTTAGTGGGTGTAAACGGACTTGATTTAACCCGTCCTGAGAAACGTCATAGCATAAGCGTAGATGAGGGGTCTAATTCCATGGCTATAATAAATTTATAAATTAAAAAAACACAATTGGGACGTTTTAAAATACTGTAAAAATTAAAATGGATCAAAGTGCCTGTTATAGCTAACCGTAAAAAAATATTATTATCTTTTTCATTATTTTCTATATCCCGTTGCCTTTTACGCAGACACGCCAATGGATTTTCGTTCCCGGCACGCTTCATCCCCCTTACTAGTCCAAAAGCTAGCGATGAATCAATCTCTATAATTTCGACCGCGGAGTGTAAACTAGTAGCTATGATAAAGACTTAAAAATCACAGATAAGAACAAAAAACCTTATCTACTGCGCATATTCAAATTCCCAGTCAAGACAGGAGGAGGCCCCACGAACTGCTCGAACCCGAAGGGGAAATGGGGGAAGGGCCTGCCTCTACGAGGCGTCCAGGTCTACAGAGATGGCGTGGGTGAAGAGCGATAGTCCCGCTCGACCCCGCCCTATCCAAGGTCATTTTTTCTACCAAGGGTATTGGCGTGCACATATCAGATCTAATATTTTTTGAGAAATTTTGTATATAGAATTTTAAATGATGGTAGAATATGTTTTAGTACATAATTTCACAATATATACAGAGAGATTCAGAATGATTGAATTGTTTGGAGATTGCAACCTGTGCCTGTCTCTGTCAATACTAATGATATGCTAAAGATGGTGTTAGAAATAGGCTATGTTCCCCAAACGCTTCAATCATTCTGGATCTCTCGGTACTAACATCTACTACAAACACAGAAATATATCTAAACTGTAGAATTACATCTCAGTAAATAGACACCCAAATAGCTAAATAGTTTGTCAGTTCATTCACCTACAGAATACTGATGAGAATTACTAAGTTCGAAACCGGTCTGCTTATGGATTCTGATGATCAAATAAGTGTTTACTGGATATTAGAGGTGTAATTCAATACTAAACGTGAACTGTAGAGTTGTTTACAATGTCATTAGTTGAAAAAATTGTAATTCCTCATAAATAAAGTAAATTACCAAATACATACTTAAATTATTCCTTTATATATTTGACGCAGATGTTCCAACTTTAGTTTTGTTTCAGTATTTGGTTCCAAAAAGTATTACTGGGAAATTATTTCTATGTTTATAACAAAATACACCAAATGAAAAGATGCCAAATTACAAATTTGATTTCATAACAGTTTTTAGGTACGGTCGTCGAAGAGTTATGGTGTGGGGAATGGTTTTGTGTGCCATTTGTGGATTAATCCGGACTGTAATGCCAACTTATGAGTTGTTTTTGCTTATGGAATATCTGGATGCAGCGTTTAGTGCTGGAACATTTATCTGTGGATATATCTTAGGTAACAAACTTTTTTACATAAAATCTATCACCAAATTATTTGATTTTTACAGTTTCATATAAATTTAAATGATTTAAATATATCTTTTGGAAACGTATTTTAGCCCAAACAAGGACTATATTTTCTGTTTTAGGTGTTGAGTTAGTTGGACCTAAGAACAGAGTTATAACCGGAAGCATAGCAACTTCTTGCAACGCCACTGGCTTCATTCTAACTTCTGTAGTTGCGTGGATTGTAAGATCTTGGAGGTATTTGTAAAATAAATGTTACTACCACACTGTGTTAATAATGACAATTTTAACATTTTAGAATGATTATCTACATATTATACACACTGCCATTCTTTTTGATATTGTACTTGTGGATAGTTCCTGAATCCATAAGATGGAACATCAAAAAAGGCAGGATAGACGAGGCAAAAGTAACTTTGAGAAAATTGGCCAAAGTAAACGGAAAAGAAATTTCCGAAAGAACTCTGGACAAATTAAACATCGTGGATGATAAACAGCAAAATGAAAGTGGCAACCAGTTTTTCCTGTCATTAAAATCTCCAGTTCTATTATTAAGATTTATGAATGCTTGCTTTGGCTGGATAACCTGCGCTTTTGTATTTTATGGTTTATCTATCAACTCTGTGACATTGGCGAGTGGGAATAAATATATGAATTTCATTTTATCGAGTTTGGTCGAGATACCGGCATATTTCTTGTGCCCATTCCTATTGTCTTATTTTGGAAGAAAGAAATCACTCTTTGGATTTTATGTGCTTGCAGGGGTAGCCTGCGTAGCATTTATTTTTATACCCTCAAGTAAGAAACAATTATTTTCCATAAAATCTCTTACTAAGCAAAGAAAAAGAAACATTAAAAGTCTATCACTTATAAACACTGTATTTTTAATAACATTGATTTTAGGTGCAACAGAAATTAGTCTGACAGTTTACATGATAGGAAAATTTGGATCCACAGCCACCTTTGCTATCATCTATCAATTAACCAGTGAAATGTTTCCAACCACAACTCGACAGTCTTATATGGGAGCCTGCTCCACCTTTGGCAGATTGGGCGTCATGGTAGCTCCACAAATGCCTCTTCTTGTAAGAACATCGATTGTTATTTGAACGTAAATACTAAAAATGTCATTGCAAAGCTATTGACGCAACGAACTAAATCGTGCTTTTCATTTGTTTCAGGCTAATATCTGGACTCCTCTACCATTGGTTTGTTTCGCTGGCTTTGCATTTATAGCGGCATTCTTGACATTGTTTTTCCCGGAAACACTTAACGTTAAGCTACCGGATACTATAGAAGAAGCTGAAAATATGTCGAGATCCAAATTAAAGCAAAACCGTATCAGATCTTGAGACGTGGCTGAATTGGGAATAAAAAATCTATTTGTAACTAAATCATTGTTTCCCATACAATTTTATTTATTTAAACAATAATTACAGTACAATGACCCTCAAATGCAAATCATGTGTTACTAATATATATAGGTAGACGTAAAACACTGTATTAAATATTATTTATTCCTTTAAAGTCACCCAGTTCCATGACCCTAAAGATATTTAATATACAAAATTTACATTTTGTCTTAGTTGCTATTATTTGCCATATAATTTTAGTCTTATGATCTTAAGGTGGTTAAAAAAGTTAGCTTTGATTTTTCAGAGGGTAGACATCGCCCAAATGCCTCTATAAGCAAAGGCTCTTCTTCTACTGTTTTCTTGTAATCACCCAAGGAAACTTTACCATCCTTGTCTTTGTCCAATTTCCTCATAACTGTATCAACCAAATCTTTGACACTTTCATCCGGGTCTTCTTCTTGGGGATGTTTTATTAAACAATTCCTGTAAAAATAATGATGATTTAGAATAAATAAGATATTTAGTAGATGAAATGAAGACAGTGTAATATGCTTTATTGTATGAGACTCACCTAAGTAATTGGAACATTTCATCTTTGGTAATGAATCCATCGGCATTTAAATCATAAACTGCGAAACAGTACTCGATTTGTTTATTAATACTGCCTTTCAGAAACAAAGACAATCCGTTGAACCAGTTCTCGAGAGTTATCAAACCACAATTGTGTTTGTCCCAAACACAAAAGATTCTATCCATTAACATGTTCTCCGTTATTATGTCAAATGTGTTGTGCATCACTTCTCTGAATACTATTCTATCGATTCCCTAAGAAAACTTTTCTACATATAAACACAAATATAAGAAGGATATTTAGGGCAAATGAAAAAGTAATTTGAAACATTATTTCAAAATTTCAGCATTTATCCAAATCATAGATATAAAAAAATATATTTATTAAAATAGTGCCTTTTTGAAACTTCAAAATATAAGCAAAGCCTTCAAGACGCCGGAAATCGATACCTACATTAAACAAAATTATATTTGAAAATGTGCGTGACTCACTAGTGAATTAAGGAAATGATGCAATCAATGTTTAAGGTGCTTTTATTCAGATTTCAATTAATTCTAACCGCTGCGGGCTGTTTGCCCCTATTGTGTGAAAATAAATTTAAAGTTGTATTGCATGTGTTGTGTGTATTAGGATTTAGGGTTAGTTAAAATATTAGAAGCCAAATAGAAGTTTTTAAAACGCATCATATCTTTAGAAGTATAGTCCAAGAGAATTAAGCTCAAAACCATCGAGATATGGCTGTTGCCTGACGTAGATTAGATATTAGTAAAAATCGGTCGAAAATAATATAAACAATGAAAATATAAGGTTGCGCCAAGAAAAAAAGTTGTGCTATTTGCAGAAAAAATTAAAAACTGCAAAAATACTCAAAAATCACGTGTTTTTTCTCACATTTTCCAATATAACTTCTTAAATATGCAGTTTACAGAAAAAATATTATTACTATTACTATTACTGATTAAATTGTTTGTTATGAAATTTGCTATAAGACAGAATTGTTTTGATACCTCCGCATTTCATATTTTTGTTGCTAGATAGCCAAAAAAGCGTGAAAAAGTAATGAAAATCGAGGTAATTTTGAAGCGTTCAACTGATAGGTAAGAAATTGTCCAATTCTACTATAAATGTAGATGTAAGTACTTTAAAGGATTACAAAACGAAATCCCAAATCCCGATCGAAATCGGTCTGATAGTTTTGGTATGAGACAATTAGTTACTAAATTTCAGCGCGAAATGTCGTTATTTTTTTGCGTCAGTGCTGGGGTTAAAGTTAGGCATTTTAATTGGCGCTGATTTTTTTACACATACTTGGACTCTTTAACTATCATATAGAATTGTTATAATATTAATTTTCTTTTTTTTTTTAATAATTTTTAGAGCGATTTTAAAAATTCGAAAAATGTTGACTTTATAAACAAATACTTTCGTGAAGCGGTTTTGCGGGTTGGAATATATATCAAACTACTAAAAAATAGTTCTCGGAAAGACGCTTAACCTTGTAATGAACCTGTTTCAATTTTGATTTTTATTAGGTCTGAATTTAAAAGTATTTATTTTATTTCGGATTATTTTACCCCAGCGGCGAGAATTATTGATNATAAATTGTTTGTTAAATGGCTCGGACTACCATCAGAGCAGAATGGTTGGATCAACAAAGCTGATATGGTTTAATAATGTTTTATAAAATGATATGGCAAAATATGTAGTTAATATATCTACAGCTTTATGTAATACTGATATGTATATATTTTTTTAATGTATCACAATAAAATTATATCTCAAGTACATCACTATATTAATTTTCTTTCTTTGCCTATATTATATATAAAGGAGAACATGAAATAAGAAAAGAAACAATGAATAAAATATAATTTATTTATTAAAAATTCATATTCCTACACAAATTGTTATATAGAACTTTTTGAGTAGTCTGTGGTTGTTGTGCTGTGCTTTTTGCATCTTGACATCTCTTCACTCATGAGGCGAAACCACCTGGCCCGTTCTGCTAGCCTGAAGGCCCTCTTCTCAGTCTTGCTTTTTTTAGCCACCTGATGTCCATCCCTAATGAACATTCTGTCCTTTGTGGCAGCAACTGGGTCGTAGCCTGGCCCATCGACGCACTCGTCGTCCCAGTTCTCCTCTGAAACGACCTGTGGTGTTGCGAGATAGGTCGGTCGGGCTACACACTCCTCGTCCCAGCTGTTGTCGTCCAATACATTTCCTACGGCGACGACGGGATGTGTGGTCGAACTGCCAAACAGATAGAAGTTGTAAATATAGATACACAATCATTCCTTCTCTCACATTTGAGTGAGAGGGGTTTATAAAAATTAAAACATATCTTCTACTTACTATTGTCTGGTGATTCTTGGCCTGTCCTGGCTAGCAGCAACGCTGGTTACTGGGACACATTCTTTGTCCCAGCTATTATCATCTAAGATTGATGCCATTTTAGTATATATGTATGTATATATATATATATATGTTCGAATGAACTGGTAGAGTTGAACTGCCAAACAAATCCAAGTTGCGGGTATATATAGGCAGTCAGTCATCCCTCCTCTCACATTTGAGTGGAAGGGATTTATAACAACCAAAACCTCCCTTTTACTTACTAGTGTGAGGTAGGGTTTGAAATTCAACTCATCCCTCCCATAGAAGGAGGAGTTAAATTCTCACACATAGTAAATATTTTGCTGGTGGGGATTTCCCTGACCAGAGATTAATGGGCTTTAAAAAAGTGATAAATTGAACAAAAAATATTTTATTTAGGTAAGTATGTGTACAACCAATTATAAAGATCGCTACAGTTCCTTAAGCTACACATACATTTATTGATACTATGGTAAAAACAATAAGGACTATTTTTACTAAATACAGGAAGTGTACTGGAGGAAACATTACTTGTCAGATTCTCCACGTTGATTACGATTGGACGAAATGATGGTTCCAGTTCTTGTAATTTTTGTTTAAGAAATATTTCCTTCCGGTAGCCTTTAACATAAACCATACCTATATTGCAGTATAATAAATGTTTGCGCAATATATCATCCAACATTTCATAATTTATGTAACCATCAGAATATCTTAATCCGTGGTGGAATCGCTCTAGATATGTAACTTGTCTTTTCGATTTTCTATCTAGTGTATTGAATGAAACCGGGGGTTTCAATAGATAATGGGCGGTGTATTGTCCACTGATAAATGAAATCTCTTTTGGGTAAAACTGTTTCAAGTTAAAACCTTGTATATCGACAACAATTGTCTCCATTTTTAATGAAATTGTGTACTTCCCCTTCGATGGTT